AGCAGCAGCCTTTTTTCTGGTTTTGTTTATCTTGCAGCATTACAATTTGTACTTTATTAGCACGTTTTTTAAAATGTAACTAACAAATTTTAATATCGGCACTGCTTTCTATACTCAAACAAAGCATCGCTATCGACTTTTCAGATGGTACATGAGCCCCCCAACTGTCAACGCCTACTATAACCAGGTCGGCAATGAAATCGGTGAGTTGGGTAGAATTAATGTATATCCGCAACTTCATAACTTCTTTCTTTTTAAAAAAATGGATGAAAGCAAAATTCCGACCCTCCCCTTATTCTAAATTAACAAGCTTAACTTCAAATGGGTATGACTCCAGTCAGAGTGGAAACCCCTGTTTGTGTGTAGTACATCAAGAACGTTCCTAACGAAAAGCTCAAGTTGCAAGTTTACTTAAACTTAAATTGTTCTTCGTAACATTCTTACACATTCAATCCTTACATTGTTAGAGGCATATTTTTGCTTAATCTATTGCCGTAATGGAAACGTGGGCACGGCACACATGTCTCATCTATTTATTTTTAACAGGGGGGGGTAGGATTGAAAAAAGTGTAAAAGATAAAAAAAAAAGAAGGTATATAAGTTAATTCGACGCGTTAGTCACGAATTATGACATTTTGAAATTTGTCCGAATTATGGATATACAAATATAATAACGCTTTCTTATTCTTATTTTTACCCATTTCTTTTCTTCTGGGTTAACGTCGTTTTATTTATTGTCACCCTCATTTGCTTGATTTACAGTGTTTCCAGCCGGAATTCTTCAGCCACCGTTTTTCAATAAAGATTACCCAAAGTAAGTGAATGTGTACTGACCCACATGGTGTGTGTTTACTCTCCTTAGCGAGCTTAAAAAATGAGATCATTACTTTTTATCACGTAAAAATGTTAACTATTCAAAACATGTACTTTGTTAACAAGTGACATTAATTCTTCTGATAAAATCCCATCAACCCGACCCATCACCCTGGCCTTGAAAACTGTACCTCGGGTATTTTTACCTCCCTTTTCTAGAGAGAAAGATTGTGTGTGTGTGTGTGTGTGTGTGTGTGTGTGTGTGTGTGTGTGTGTGTGTGTGTGTGTGTGTGTGTGTGTGTGTGAGTGTCTGTGTGACGGAGAGGGAGAGAGAATGAGAGAGAGACAAAGGGACAGAGAGACAGAGAGAGAAAAAAAAGAGAGAGAGAGAGAAAGAGAGCGAGAGAGAGAGAGAAAGAGAGAGAGAGAGAGGGGGGGGCAGACAGGCCGAAAGATAGAAAAACAGATAGACAGTAAGAGAAGCAGACAGCTAGAAGAACAGATCCACAGGCAGACAGACACACAGAGAGACAGGCAGACGGACCAAGGGACAGACAGACAGATAGACAGACAGACAGACAGATAGACAGACAGACAGACAGACAGACAGACAGACAGACAGACAGACAGACAGACAGATAGATGGACAGCTGGACAGACAGACAGGTTGACCGAGAGAACCAAGAGGTCACAGGCGGCCCATTGTATTATATTATTCGTGTCATTACAACACTTGAATAAGGGTCTGTTGGATTTGAAAAAACGTTGCCATTCTGTTCCAGGTCCATCAACTTTGGAGCTATTGGCATGGTGATTGGACATGAAATAACCCATGGCTTTGACGATTCAGGTACGATTACTCGCCGAAATAGTGAAATCAAAGAAACAAGAATTTTTTCTGGCCATTGAGCTAATTTATTTTGTTTTTTTATTTTCTTCTTTTTCTTGTTCATTAAAATACTTTTATGTTTAGATTTTACTGAAAAATGTTGATCAAAGGCACGAGCAGTGTAACTGCAGTTTTCAAAGACACTCAAGCTTTGGAAGTCTTCACCTTTTGGGGGACTTTTTTTTTCTACTTTATTCCGGTGACTCCAGGTGACCACCACCCCCTTCGATCGAAAATATTTCGGCTCCCAATTCAAAATAGATGGGTTTTTTTTTTTTTGCAACAAAAGCAAGACAAATCAACAGACTTCAGTGTGATACTTATAATTCCATATGCCCAAAAATGACGAGCGCCCGATTCAACCGCGTTGTGGCACATAAAATAATAGTATACGAGCTGAAAATCATCTAGTTTACTGACTCTCTCTGCAACCTTTCTACTGCTACACCTTGGCTATTTCTTACCCCTGTCTTTCAGCCACACCCCTGCTCTCATGGTAGGTAAAATCTAACCCTAGCCTTCTCGGATAAGGGCAAAAAATCTCGAATGTCCCGTGTCCACGTTGCACACAATAAATATCCCTTGGTGGTCCTAAAATCGATAAGAGTAGGCTTCGGCCCCCACCAGAGCAAAATTCAAAATTCCTACAAAACTGAAACTGTTTAATGTGTCCCGCGCGCTCAAGTGACGTTATTCAGTTGCGAGCTTCGTAAAACACTCACCAAACTAACCAAACAAATTTCATGAATATGTGAAATCAACTCGATACATTATTGAGGTAGTTTCGGCGAATTTGTTATCCTTTTCTCAGGAAGACAGTACGACAAGACCGGAAACTTGAAGCAGTGGTGGAGCGACTCCGCCATCCAAAATTTCAAAGACAAGGCACAGTGTATTGTAGACCAGTATGGTGCTTACGTCATGGAGGAGGCCGGAATGAACGTGAGTGTGCTAAAGGGAAATAACCAAAACTATCTGACTGTAATATAATTTTTACCTTGTTTGTGTATCATTCCTATTGCTGGCATTTGGCAAACAATTGGGAAAAATGTAACACCCCCCCCCCCCCCTTCGAGCCCCCTCTTTTCGCTACTCGTTAAAAATCTTCATATTATGTTTCTTAAAGTTAAAAACATGACGTCACGGCTACCCAAACACAGAGAGGAGACTGCGTATTACGCTTTCTAAGTCAAGTAAGATCCGTAAAGAGGGCTACAGTTTGCTTTGACTACAGTTGTGTTTGCCAAACTAGCTTTTTTGAAGGGAGGTCTATCATTTGATTAATATGATATACCAGATGTTTATGGCGCGATAGACAGTTAGGTTAAGAACGTGTTGCGTTGTTCTAGGACATATTATGGCATGACTTTGCCTTTTTGATAGTGCTCGGTTTAGTTGTAGGCCTCTTTAAACCCTCTGCTGTCTGTACCCAGAGAAGAATACCCCCCCCCCCCAAATAGAAAAAAAAATTATGCCACTGACAGAACAGTTCGAAGACATGATTTTTAAAAGCCCAAAATTTATTTCAACTGGGAAAAGAATACACATCTAGTATTGCAATTTTATGAACTATTGCATATATTGCCACTTCAGTAAGTAAAGAGGAGAGAGGTATCACATTTGATACATTATATTCGTGCAAAGACTGCATATCAAAACACGTCTTTGCCTCTTTGATATTGCATGTTTGAAATTCACTCTTCAGTCGGCTCTGCGTCATATTAATCCATCGTTGTTGTCCAATCGGTTTTCAGCTCAACGGAATCAACACACAGGGAGAGAACATCGCAGACAATGGAGGACTCCAGCAGGCTTTTCGGGTACCAGGGTGCGCCCATTGCGGGTCGGGTCGGGTCGGGTCGGGTCGGGTTGATCGCCCCAACTCGTCGCCTGAAAGCAAACGCGTTTGTTTTTTGAGCCAACGAGTCGGGCACGATCAGCTTGTGCCACGATAGCCGCTTTGCGTCCTCAATCTGGCCCCGAACCGACCCGATCCCCCAATGGGCACCCCGTATTATATGAATTGATCTGAATGACGGGGCATTGTGATTTGTGTTGCCTTTCTTAAAGAGTCTTGTCATGATTTTTTTAGGGAAGGGGGGGGGGGGGGTCTGTTGACTTATTGTGAAAATATATGGAATAATGGCCGGGCCATTTAAAACAACATTATTTTTTTTTAGCGGACGATAACCGTCCACCCGATAGAAAAGAGGGTCAGATTTCTCCGTCCCTCGGTATGCCTCGGGCAGTATCTGCCTCGCTAAACCAGTGGGCACAAGGCCAGAGGAGAAGCTAAGAACAGATACCACCTTTGATCGGAGCCAAAAGACCGAGAAGCGATGACTGTTTCACAGATTCTTTTTTTTTCTATTCAAGAAGTGAGGGAGTGTTTAGTGCTGATGTTTTTCTCATATCGTACTGTCTGTTGTGTTTCAAAGAAAAACCGTTGGGTTCACCGTCACTCTATTTGATAATTTATTATCTTATCTTATCTTATCTTATCTTATCTTATCTTATCTTAATGCTAATACTCTTATGTTTTCCATGCTGCTTCCTCCATCAAGGCCTATAGAAACTGGGTGAAAACAAGAGGAAAAGAGGAACCGACTTTGCCTGGCGTTCCCTACACAAACGACCAGCTGTTCTTCATCAGCAATGCACAGGTAGGTTATGGTTTAGTGTCGGTAGTCTAATGGCTACAGGTCTTGTCAATGTGAGGAGGTTGCAGGTCCGGGGATTCGACCCTTAATTAATAATCATTTTTAAAAATAGTAATAAAATGATAAAAATAATAGTAATAATAATAATGATAATAAAAGTAATAATAATAGAAAAAATAATAATAATTGTATTAATAATAATAATAATAATAATAATGATCCTAATAATAATAATGATAATAATAATAGTAATATTATTAATAATAATAAATACAAATTTTAAACAATAAATTAATTAAATAATACTAATACTAACAGTGGTAATCATAATGATGATAATAAAGATAATAATAATAATAATAATAATAATAATAATAATAATAATAATAATAATAAAATTTATATTTAAAAAAATAATAATAGTAATAATAAACACATATATTTTAAAATATATAATGACAACAATGATAACCATGAAATATAATTTATAATAATAATAATAATAATAATAATAATAATAATAATAATAATAATAATAATAATAATAATAATAATAATAATAATAATGATACTACTAGATCTAGTACTACTATTAGTACAATTAATACTAACAATAATAATAATTATAATGATAATAATGTTGGTAATAGTAATAATAACAATAATAATAATGATAATAATAATAAAACAAAGCAAGGTAATTAATCCAGAGTACGGCCCAGAAAGACACTCTGTGACGTCAAGCGGGCGTGACGTCATACTACTCACGTGTAAAGTCAGGTTTTTCCACGATACCTCTAGTTATACAAACAGCAAATTTAAAAAAAGTAAGTTTATAAACTAACATTGATATAGCGTAATAAAGCCATCCACTTTTGAAATTGACTTATACCTTTTCCTCCTCTTTACATCCACGGGAGATGTGTCTTAAAAATCAACTCATACGTTTTCAACTTATTTCCTTTTAACAGGTTTGATGGTTTTTTTAATCGACTTGTACCTATTCCTCCTCTTTACCTCCACAGCTTTGGTGTCTTTGAAATCGACTTATACCTGTTCGTCCTATTTCCTTCCTCAGGTTTGGTGTGACCTGAGAAGAAAAGAGTCTGTTATACAAGCTATCAGATCGGGCGTCCATAGTCCCGGGCGATATAGGTATGACTTTTAAAAATAGTGCACGCTGTTCTTGAAGCCCAAACCCGAGCATACACGTAAATGAGCTGTCTTGCGAGAACTTAGACACATCTACAAACACAATTTCATAGGTAATCATAAACACACAGTCACAAACATACATGCACACACGCTTAAGTACTTGTAAATGGACATACACACGAATACGTGTTGTTTTAAAAAAATATTATGATCGCAAATGTACACGCATTTGCAAACACTGACAGACACTGAGACGTGTAACAAAAACTTAGTGTATCCCCACTTTCCTGTTCACACACGCTTACACATGCACGCTCTCAATAATTGTTACAATAATGAATACTGAAATTCTCCTCTGCACAAATAATCTTTGTCTTTGATATGTGTTTTTCTTCCATACTTAATTAATTATTCTTTTAACTGTTTCCTAGTAGAATTTTACAAAGTTATTGGAAACAAAGAGAATTCTGTATTTCTTTGTCCGTATGTTACCCTTTATCTCAAAGTCTTCCTAGAAAAGCCCACAGACACTCACAAGCCCACAAGAGTAACTAAAATCGCCCAAAGAAATAAGGAAAATCTACTTCATATGCCAACGCCCTTTAACGAATATGTCATTTTTTCAAAAACTCAAATGTTTTATCCCTTTAAAACGAATTCTATTTTGTTTTCCACAGAGTGATTGGTCCAAACCAGAATTCCGAGGACTTCTCCCAAGTGTTCAACTGTCCCAAAACGTCATTCATGAACCCGGAAAAAAAGTGCGAAGTCTGGTAGAAACGAAGAGAAATAAATGGTTTCTTGGCTCAACCTGACCTTCCTGAAAACTGAAAATAACGAATATTCCGTTTTGCTCTATTAAATTGTACTGATTCCTTACAGTTTGATCAGATTCTATGTACATCGGTAGATTAAAAGGTGCTATGTCCTTCACCTTCTATTTTGCAGTCGTAGATAGCAAAAGGGGTGGAATTGGTGAAAACATGTATATTGTATTATAGTAGCGCTAGTAAACATAATACTATGCATATTAGCGAAATCATTTATATTATTTGTAGTTATAAAACTCAAGACTTGTAACGGTGCAGGTAGGGTAAGAATTATAACTGTCTCGTTACGCAGAAGTTTTTGATTATACGCAAAGATGAAAGATAAGATAATACAGCAGAACCAAAAAGTAACAATGCCATTAAAATTTAGTTTTCGGTGTAAGGTGTGGCAAGGAACTCGACAGCTGGTTTTTATTTTAGCGAGTTATTATTTAATTTAGACAGGATCATGTCCATTGTTACACTCAGTTCTATTACACCTATCGTTCAGTGTCAGTATCTGTCATCATTGCTATTTATTAGAGGGAATGTACCATGGTAAGATAAGATAAGATATGATAAGATAGTATGAGATTGGATAAGATAGGATAAGATAAAAATAAAACAAGAATAAGATGATACGTTATTGTCCCAGAGATATTTTTCTCAGCTAGACAGGAATGCAAAAAACACATATAGATGTACATAGAATCCACATTATACTACTTGCATACAAATTTGATATGGAGAGAAAAATAAAGCTGATTATAAAACACATACCACATCAGTTACATCTTTCCACCTCATGAATGAATTTATTACAGACCTCTCGAGTTATACTCGTAGATCGTAGATGTATTCGAATTATATGACGTGGTTTAAAAAATGAACACCAATGCACAGTAATGATAAAAAAAAATATAATTTTAAAAAGCTTTTAAAAAATGGGGTAATACGACAAGGATGTAAGATTTGGAAGCAAAGAAAGAGTGATCTTGCAGCTCCCATACCATTTAGTAGCGTGACGGCTGTTGCGGTGTATCTGAATTGTTAAACAGAGGTTCGTGGCTCGAATCCGAAAAGGGTCCTTATCTCGCACTCGCTCTAATAGTATAATACTATTACTGATATCCTGGCAATTTTCTTTACCTTAAAGAAAGAAAATGGTGGAATGCTACTTCTTCCCTATAGTCCTATATGGCGTTGAAACCTGGACTTTAACAAAGACAGAAGAAAGCAAAATAGCTTTCTTTGAGGTGTGGTGCACCGCAAAATGGCCTGAATTAGCTAGAAAGCAAAAAAGACATGCAAGGGTGTGTCAGATTCACCACACAAGACAAACCCTGCTTAATGAAATAAAATGTATTTAAAAAACACAATATTTTAGTCCCTTAAAACGACACGAGACCATTGTGAAAGATGGGCTTGAAGGAAGGGTAAGGGCTGGAGAGCCAGGAAAAACAAAGACAAGAAACACGGATAGACAACGTAAAAACATGGACTGACCTGGTTATAGCCGAATGTGCAACGGCTACTCGCGACCACGAAGAAGGGAGAGTCATTACATGTCAACCTCTGAGTCAGGGATGACACTCCAGAAGTCAGAAGAAGTTTAGAGCAGCGGGCAAATCTGCCCTCAAGTTGTCTTTGAGAGATTTTGCTGGTTGCATTGAAATTTATAATAATTTGGTGAGCAACTTTCCTATGTGTTTGGTTTCTTTTGGGGTTTCTTTCTTTTTAATAAAAAAAATCTTTTTATTTGTGTGTGTGTGTGTGTGTGTGTGTGTGTGTGTGTGTGTGCGTGTGTGTTTTATTATTTTATGTATATTTTTCTTTGGGGCGGGGGAGGGGGGATAGAGGGGGGGATCGGTCACTTGTATTAGGTGCCACAAATTTTAAAAGTTTAAACTGTCCTTATTGGACAAGAAAGAGCCACAGAAACGATGCAACCTACCGTTCAAATAATCAAAATGGGACAAAGAATAAAGAATTTACCAAGGTTCAAATTCATCAAAAAACGTAGAAACGCGTCCCACACAGCAAGCAAAACGAGGTCAAAAGCAGGGCTCTGAAAAAGAGGTGGGATACTCGACCGCAAAGAAGCTAGAAAAGGAAGACTCTGGGTAGCTACAGAAGGGGGAGGGTACGTGGATGAATGCCGCTGTCCTAGCAACAGATGTTTATTATGGATTTGAAAGAGGCGAGGAGACACACTTTGATAGCAACGCTTGACCTCGAGGATGTCTACAATAGGGTTGAGTAGTATGATGTCCTTTTGAGAACAATGATCACCTGAAAATTAACCCTCAGCTTGTGATACGGGTATGTGAGGCATTGCTGAAGAGGAGAGTTGCAATACGGCTAGGACACTGGACATCTGACACCAGAAATATCTCACCTGGTTTGCCACAGGGATCATCACTTTCACCAGTGTTATTCAACATATACTCAGTTGGAATCACTTCTGGATAGTTGGAGGCCCAGGGTGTGTGCTGAGCTTTGCGAATGATGTCTTCGTATACAGACAGAGTAAGGACTGGCAAGAAACAGCTAACGCAGTGCAACAGGGGCTGGCTCGAATTGGGCAACGGCGTGCAGACCACGACGGTAAACTCCACCCCGACATGGCCTATGTGCTGTGGTGCTCGCTGAATAATCACGCAGTGAAAACAGAGATGCCCACAGTCACCATCAACGACAGGGTCCTGAAGCATTCACTGAGGTATCTAGGTATCATCTGTGACAGATCACTCTCAGGTAAAGAAAACATAACCAGGATCGTTACAAGAGCCAGAAAAGGTTTTACTGCATGCACTGAAAACCATGGCGTGTAACAGAAAGCCAAACAGAATTTTAGCCATGCTCTACCAGACTTTTGTGCTGTCTGTGATAGACTATAGCCTCGGTCTCCTCACTTTGTCAACGTGCAGCTGAAACGCCTCGAAAGAATTCAGAACGAAGGTATGCAGATTGTTCTAGGGTACACGCGAGACACATCCTGTGAGGCTATGCGTTATCTCATGGACCTCCCAGCCATGGTACGACGTCACAAGATTGCTCAGGTGACAGCATATTTTAGAGTCAGCACTGATGATCAGCACCCACTGCATGATAAAGTGGGAAGAACTGTACGCACACGTCTGTTTAGAGGGATTGAATGGATGAATGAGGCAGCGACGACTTTTGCTAAATGCTGTGAAGTGCAAGACACCTGAAGGGGCCGCGCATGGGTCTGCGTCACTGACACATTTGAGCAGTATACTCGAATGGTAGCAACGTTAGGCAGAGAATGTCGTGAGTGACCAGAGGGAGCAGCCAATGCCGAGTAGAGACGCTGATAGAGGAGAACAGTGAACAGGGTGACGTAGTCGTCTTCACAGATGGATCAGTAGAGCATGGAGTCAAGTCTGGATGGGCTTTCTGCGCCCGTGTAAACGGAGTCATGAAGAGAGAGCAGTCAGGCGCTACTAGTATAACCAAGTCCAGCATATTCATGGAAATGAAAGCCATCACAGAAGCCCTTAACTGGATTAAGACGACAGAGCATCAGTCTGCCGTCCTCGTCACCGACTCGATGAGAACCCTCGAAAAAGTGAAGAAACACAGTTATAATGTATGCTGACGAGCGAGAGGCAATACGAAGCAGCAGACTCACAAGGGTTGTATGGATATTTAGCCCTGGTCATGCAGGACGTCAAGGCAATGAACATGCCGATAAGCTAGTCGGCCAGGCTGACATTGGCGGCACCATGCAAGTAGATCCACCAACAGTCATGGCAGATTTGACACCATGGTTCAACGACCACAGAGTCGATGAAGGCACCACGTCAAACACAATGGAAAGACTAAGGGAAGCTGGCGTCTCTAGAGGATCGGGGAGAGACAGCAACCTACGAGGAAAAGCCAGAAGAATATCAAACCAGCTGATGACTGGCGCGATCAGAAAGCAGACCCTTTCATGGATCCTAGAGAGGAGGGAGGAGCAGCTATGGCATCGTGCCGCCTGCAATGATGCTTATTCTCCAACCAAGTAAGTAAATAGTAAGAACCACCCATCGCCACTGACTGTAATCAGATCCTTATGGCACAGTCGTCAATTGCCAAAACTGCCATCATAAAATCGTTCGGCCTCTGGGAGTTTCTTGGCACACCTTTTGGCTTAAAGAACGCAGCACAGGCTTTTCAACGTCTCGTGGATTGCGTTCTAAGGGACATTCCCTTCAACTTCGCCAACATCGACGACATCCTCGTAACAAGACACTCACGGGAAGGTCATTTCAAACACGTGCGACAACGTTTCCAACTCGTTTCGTTCAATGGTTTGGTCATCAACAAAGCCAAGTGTGTTTTTGGAGAAAATGAGTTAGATTTCCTTGGACATCGTGTCACCACTAAGGGAATACGCCCCCTCCCTGACCTGGTAGCGGCCCTACGTGACTGTGCTGCCCCTACAGACCACACAAGCCTTCAGGGTCCTACACTTGTACGTTCTAACCAGGCGGTTTTAAGGCGCGTCATCCACATCACGTATGGTGTAACCGCAGCGAGTGTACTGACAATGACGATTTGCTTGTACATACATACATACATACATACATACACACACACACACACACACACACACACACACACGCACATACATACATACATACATACATACATACATACATACATACATACATACATACATATAATCAAATTGCAGTGTCAAAGAATGCAGATCCATATTGCTTTAGTATACAAAATGTGCTGATTTACGTTTAAAACCTGAACAACAGTATAGCTGTAGATCTACTACAGATGTGTATTATTTAGGCTTATATATATATATTATAAGCATATATTATATATTATAAGCCTACATATTATGTAGGCTTATAATATATAATATATGCTTATAATATACATACATACATACATACATACATACATACATACATACATACATACATATATATATATATAATATATAATATATATATTATAAAAAGCTTTACGGTTTTCAGAGGTCTGTCAAAGCTACAG